AAAGAGCTATTGCAGCTATGCAAACAATATTGTGCTCATACTGACTTGTTGGATGTGACGTGTAGTTAATCTAATGTTTACACGTTGTAATTAAAAAACAGTCGAATGAAATATTAATTGATCGTGGCACAATGCATTATTTTTATTCCCTCACTAAAGTTTAGTTATCATGACTAAATAATTTGCCGTGATTGAACGTGAATGATAAACTAGAGTTATATCGATATCGGTCTATGTGAAACAAACGCCGCATTTAGTGACAAAAATGGAACTATCACTACAATAAGATTTTTTGAACTTGATACTTTTCCACTTCAATAAACAACAAAACGAGCTTCTTAATGCGAGAAGTATCAGTAGTTTTGTTAGAAACACAATATAAACCTAGCTGCAGTAACCGATGATATCTTGTCAACTTTGTGAAGAATCAACCTCTTGTGCATTTACGAAGGGATTACCAAACAAAGAATCTTGGTAAGGTAATCAAAATAAAACTAGAAGTACTACAGGGCATCCCTCCAACTCAACTCAATTAATTTTTGAAGAACGTACATTCTGACTAATTTATGCCAGATTTTTGTTTGGAACATTATTTTACTTGGAAGAACAACTGAAAAATTATGGTAAAGTAGGAAAAAAAATAAAATTTAATACCACCTGTTATCACATATGAAATGTGACAACAAAACCTTAACAAAAAACGAAAGATAATCTGAAATTCCAAAGAAAAATAATGAAAACAATACTAGAACCCTAAGAAATTGAAGAAAAATTAAAGGAGGAAAACATGATTAGGAACATAAAGTCTCCCCAGTTAGAATGGATTACAGACATACTGAGACGACCACTATGTTCAGAAGGATAACTAACTGGATACCAATCTACTAGGCCTTCCTCTGCACATATGGTGCACGTGTAGGATTTTCAAAACGTCATAACCTTAGCCATCTTCTTCTACAAGTGTCCTCTCTGCTACGGAGTTTGGCAATCCTCATTGCTATTCGTATCTTTGAAGCTGTTGCTCTAAATAATTGGTTAGATGTGTACTGGAACCAGTCTCTTAAATTGCGCAGCCAGGATATACGTGCTCGATTACATATACAGGCAAAATAACAACAAAAATAGCCAAACACATAAAAAAGAAAGGAATAACACCAGCTTTCCGAACAAATAACAACCTATGTGGCGACTGTCCAAAAAGTTACATTGGTCAAACTGGTAGAAACTTTAATAAACGAATAGCAGAACATAAAAGGGCTTTCAATAATAGAAAAACAGATTCGACATACGCACTTCACCTTCTAGATCATAATCATTCTTTTAATGACAAATTTAAAATACTTCACATTCAAAATAAAGGCCTTAAGCTATCTTTGTTAGAATCTATGGAAATCAACAAATTAAAAAACACAGATATAATTCTGAATGCCCAACTTGAGACAAACTTGAGATCCCCTCCTCAACCTATTTCATTAGAGACTATAAATTGTAAACGCATGCCAAAAATAGATCACTTGAGAAAGGCAATCAGCCGAAACAGCTGTAGTGATAATAGTTAAAATAAATTTTGTGGAAGTTTGAAAACAAAGTTTTTAGTGTTTTATTGTTACAATTTGTATATATTCACGATTTCGAGCCGCTTTCCCGATTTTTTAATTTTGTTACATAGTTGATGTACTTTTTTTAATCATTGTATGCTGGTTCTTAAAGTCAAATGATATTTTGGTTAGTTGTTTTCTTTTCAATTTTGGATTTTAGCTATTTAAAAATTGTGTTTTTAGAATTTGTGGCGAATTTAACTTTTATGTTTTATTTTTCTACCCATTTCTAGGTAATCTGTGTTTGTCTCTAATCTATTTCAGTAGTCTTGTTTCATTGAGGACTTAAATCTATTAAATATTCTGCACAAGCTTTTTATTTACTATTTTATAACTTCTATTTTGATTCCTAACGGTTGTCTTCTAAAAAGTATTATATTTTTAGAAAATACATATTAGTTGTGTTATATTTCTCAGCATTTTCTTCTCGAAATCGTTAAAATATACCATATATATTAAATATTTACGAAAAACAAAACATCTTTTATCAAAAACATGTTTTTTAACAAACATTTTAATTCCAAATAAACAATGTTCATATTTGAGTGTATCACACCTTGTTTACTTCTACCTCAAATTCGCATCAACGATCTTTTGTTTATTTTAAACGAATGTACACTTATTTACTTAAGTAGATGTACACCTTACACCTGATCTATATTTTCGCAGAATTTTGTTGTCATATAAATAAAAACTATCCAATGAAGCTGAAGAAAAGTAGGAAGTAGGAAAATAAATATAGAGCGAGCAACGCAGAATAAATAATTTTGTGTGAAGATGTAAAGTACTTTTTACGCTTTGCTACCAGTTAAATAAAGTTTAGTACTTAAATAATTCTAAAAGAACTGTATCTTATTTGGTAATTAAGTAATAAAAGAGTAAGAAGACACTATTGCAACATACACAGATCTTACTAAGGAAACGCAAAAAAAAACAAACTCAACAATTTAGACATCAACAGATGATGACCGAGCTGTTGGATAAATTTATAGAGTAATTTTGTAGATTTACTTATAAGTAAATATGGGATACTACTATGGTTATCTTATGAGGGAAGAGAAATCCTACTAGAATCTGTAAGCGAACAGTGTAATAAGTGTTTACACTAGGATAATATTGCAAATGACTGGAACAATGCAGTTATAGTCCCTGTTACATAGAAAAGGTAAGTATATTATTCAATTAGAAAATTATAGATTCATCAGTCTGTTGACACATATGTATAAACTGTTTATGAAAATCTTAATGAATAGACTAACACCTAAACTTAATTTCTCGTTCTCGACACGGCACATACCAATAGCGCATAGCGAACGTTCTATGGATATATAGAACAGGTATGATTATAGGTATAACCCATGGACGTATAAACACAGATGGACTCAGTTATTTACATAAAATTGTGAAGTAAAAATTATTTGAATAGGTCACATTCTCAGCACCTTCAACTGTTGTCACGTTTTGTTTTAAAAGTTCTTATTCGCGAGTCGCTGAAAATATTATTCCTATTTTATACTCTACAGGTGCTATCAAACCAAAATAATAATTTATTAGTTAGATTAATATATTTAATTGTAATCAAAATATAAAGTGTGCACATAGTGTGCATTATCATTTAATAATAACGTATAATTTAGATATCAATCAATTATTTTATATGTAGAAGCACTGAAAACTATTTATAAATGGCAACGGTTGTTTACATTTCTCTGTCTTATGGATCTACGTCAAACTTCAAATGCTGTTCCATGTTTGTTTACTTTTTAGTAAAAGTTGTTTTTCGATATTTTGGCTGTATTTTGAGTAATATTTGGAAAAGTGAAATAAAATAAACGAAATATTTACATCCCGATCTCTCATTTCATTTGTAAGTACATAAAATTTACATTATTTAAGATGAGGAAATGAGGAAGCGTGTTTGTTTACATTTTAATAGGCGTACCATTGGGTTTATTCATGTTCAAATGTATTAAATAAGATATAAGTTCATGAAATTAGTAGACATTTTTAAATTGTAAGTAGACATCATCTGATTAAAAAAGAACTATTTAGTACCTTTTTAATTTAATATTTCTCATGGATGCAAATAAATTAGTGAAATGAATAAAACTCATTTATTTTTCTATGTAGGTTTCCAAATATTATTGACGATCGAACTATTTTGGTAGCAAATTTAGGAGAAAACAAAGATTTTTTATTGTAGCATTATTTTGATACCTATTAAAAATTAACTTGAATTCAACTATATTTTATTGTATTAATTTTAAAGCAAATAAAATTGTATTTTAATTTTTCTATAAAGACGTGATTTGTTAATAGTTAAACTCTCGTTTTTTAAAATTCTTTGAACGTGTTTTTATACATTATTACTACTTCCAATTTTTAAAATCTGAATAATTACCCGCGAGTAAAAATTCAAGCACGCTTATGCTCATTGCGGAAGCATCACATTCTATCGAAGCTTCAAAACATTGTGTGTTAAAGGTATCTTATTGATGTGTCCATCTATGTTTATACGTCCATGGTATAACCAAATTAACAACAGCAGATCAACTGAGAACGTAACACAGGGTTCGCAGCTATATGCTTACCAGTAGATTTGTTGATTGAACATAACACACACCTACAAAATATTGGTGCTGGTTTTGCAGCTGCAGGTTTTGTAGAAGCTGGAATATTATTATTTCAAATATATAGATGATTATCACGAAGAGCAAGTGTGCCCAAATGTTAGATCTAATTTTGAAACGGGCTATCAACGCAAGTTATCATTCCTGATTATAAAAAGTGATGCCAACACACGAACAAGTAGTTGGCATAAAGCACATCTCTTGCAGTTCCAAAAATATAAACACTTTTCCAAAAATATAACCACATACCAAACGATTCTCTATGAAATTGATAATAAGAGCAAGGATTTAAAAATAATGTAATCTTTTGCAGGACAAAAGTGCATGATGAAGAAATGTAAAGATAATCGCTGTAAAAACGCTAAAAACAATCAGTAATATTAAAATGCAGTACATTTGGGAAAGAACCGAATATTACCATAGAAAAATAATTTACCACACAATGATAATAATCATAGACAACCAACAACCCTATTATAAGCCCCAAGCTAAAATCTCTCACCCTTTCTAGATAAGCTTTAGAAATAACTGCACTGCTCGGCACAACCCTAAAATGCAGTTGCAAGGGGTGGAACTACTTTAACAAAGAGTGAAAAATTACTATTATTAACAGAATGAAGAAGAGTTAGTACATAAGAAAATGATATATACGCAATTAAATCACTAAAGGTTGTTCTTAACTGTGCCAAAATGTGTTTGGACAACAACAAAAACAAACTAAAAAATTAGTTAATTTTTCTTCTATCTTCTTGATCATATTATGATATTAATTTTATTCAGGATATCTAATGACTAGGTTAATACTCGTGATTTCCCTTTCCGAATCCAAATTACTATCCATTTCTATTACAGAAACTAATGAGGTGGACATCACGGCATGATGTATATCTAAATTCAGATCAAATCCTACACCTATGCAAAATAGTTTCTTGATGGCAACACCAACTGAATGAGTATATGTTAACAGAAGAAAAAACACATGGGAAGGTCAAAAACTATTTGACCAGCTGAGAAAACTCAAGCTCATTACATCTTTTTAATTTTTTGAAATTGAATATTATTTATGTATTAAAAAACGATAAATTGGGTGAATATTTTAGAGAAACATACTATTCCCATCAAGTTACTGCCATACAGCGACAATGTGAGAAATAATCAGTTAAAATTAAAATCAACTGAAGGCAAACTACAATTTACAAAATTAGCAATATCTTTGTAATGATGTAACATTACGTTTTTTAATAAATTGGTGATTGGTAAAGAATCTATTTACTTATTTTATGAAAAATTAAACCAGGATTGAATATATTTAAAACTTACCGTCAGGGTCACTTTTCCTGATATGAGAATCCAGTTCGTCCTGAGTATATTCCGGTTTTCTTTTGGACTCACTGGAAGTAGTGCACACTTTAGTCCTTTTCATGGCTTTTCCCATATTAATACCGTCTGTATCAGACGAATCGCCTTCGAAAAACCCACTTTCCTTGGTTTTTTTGTGGCAACGCATCTTAAACAATTTCGAAGATTATCGTATTTCACCACCCGATCTAACTCATAGTGCACAAACAGGAACGATTATTTCCACAGGCATATTTAGGTTGGAGCAAGTAAAAAATTTCGATTTATTTACTTGATTTCACGTTATTTAAACAGTTATTAAAAGTAGGTCGTCAAATAACAGTTAAGAAAGTAGCAAGTTGCTCGAATATACACAATATATTATATATAATTCACTTATTGTAAATATTCACTTTGATTTTGTTTGTCACGAAAGACACTACCACAAAGTTTCAAAACTTCAAATTAATTTCCTTGTTGTTGTCAGAAGTTAGGTTATGTCAAATACTTGCACTTATTCACTTATTTTTATTATCAAAAACTACGTTAACGCCTCGTATAAATTTATTAAAAACTAGAGTATTTGCACTTCTATAAAAATCTATTTCTTAAAACCTTTATACAATTCTTAACCACTATACAAAACCAAAACAATGTTCCCCGACCGATTCTATCACTGCGCCCGTAACTGTGTTTCTGCTGAACTAAAATCAAATAGGTATCCATGTTGCACGGTCGGTTTTCATCCCCACGCCTATGTTGCCGGATCGTCGAAAATTACAGCAAATAAGTATCAAAATTTTCCTAAACAATATTTTTAAATATTTATATATTTAGGCCAATTTATTACGAAATATTTATTTAATCAAATTGAATCAGAAAACAAAAGACAATAATTTCTGATATATTAAATGTTTTGACTGTTTTACAAACAGTTATTGTTTTTTTAATACTTTAAATTTTAGCTTTTCTATTTGTTTCTTAAAATATAGGTTATTAAGCTCATGCTTAACTCTAAACAATAATTTAGTAACCACTACTTTTAACCTTCTAAGCTGTACGTTAGACGTTTTTAGGACTAATAATTAATTAAATTAATAAAAACAGTGCAAATATATAATTAATGAGATAATTAAAAACTTATAGTAATATTATTAAGTAACCACATGTTGCATATAAAGTATGCAGTAAGTTATCAGATATAAATATGCGTATTTATTTACAAAATTTGTTGTGACATGATTTTGAATTTGAATCTTATTGGTTCTAAACCGCGACAAACTGGCAACACCGCCCCACTCCACTATCTACCTCGTCCTGTGTGGCTTGTGGACTCGAATATCATTAAGAGATATCTTTATTATTTTAGGCAGTAAGATATTTATACTATGGAAATATTTGAACTTTGGAGTAATTGACCCAAGCAATACTTATTTTGAAGCGTCTATTAAACGAATCAAGGAATTATTTAGCAAATATTAACGTGCGGAATAGTCAAGATGGCCAGGATGCGTAGAAAAGAGAGAAGCAGAGATTAAAAGTTGGTTGGAGGGCGATAGATGGGTAACAACAAAATCAGCTGCTTGTTAGCTATTTGTAGTTATCCTTGCATTATTTGCATGACAAAAATTCTTACATACCAAACCTGAGAGAATGGGGAAAATAATGGTGCCGTCGAATGATTCGGCAGAAATTTTTTTAAGATGGTGAAAAAAATATTGAGAAGATATCTTCTTTAATTTGTAATGGTAATACCTATACGGCTCCCTTTATACTTTATTTTATATTAATTATAAAAGAGTATTAATTTTGGTATATTGAAGTATATACCAAAACGGTACGAAAAAATAACAACCTAGGCAAATATATTAAAAATAACAAGAACCAAAATAAAAACACTTAAATAGTGGTGTGTACAAACTTCAATGTGGCGACTGCCCAAAAACTTACATCGGTCAAACTGGTAGAAACTTTGATAAACGAATAGCAGAACATAAAAGGGCTTTCTAGAATAGAAAACCAGATTCGACATACGCACTTCACCTTCTAGATCATAATCATTCTTTTAATGACAAATTTAAAATTCTTCACATTCAAAATAAAGGTCTTAAGCTATCTTTGTTAGAATCTACGGAAATCAACAAATTAAAAAACACAGATATAATTCTGAATGACCAACTTGCGACAAACAGTTCTCCCCTCCTCAACCTAAAGTGACAGGGCACTCTTTTGTCCTGAGATAGAGAAATCTGTCTCGAAGGCGGATGAATCAAGGAATGGTCAACGGCGTAAGGATACAGAAGGCAACGGGAAACCACTGTATTAATGATCTTTAAGATTCCCTAGTATAATCATGATGGCAAATGTCACATCAATCACTCATGTTACTGATCATGGACCTCGGAACCCAAGATCCGGCAGGAGAGGAAAACCACAGACAGACCATAGGGCCTCTCGGGTCGTGAATCAGCGAAATCCCTGTGTAAGTAATATCAATCACCTTAAGATATTAAGAATAGCGACGTGGAATGTAAGAAGCCTCTTTGCAGCAGGTAAATTAAATAATGTAGCCCTTGAAATGGAAAACCTTAAAATTGATGTCCTAGGTATAAGTGATGTACAGTGGCCAGGATCAGGAAAATGCACGAATCACAGTGGAACACTTTATTATTCAGGCACTATCAGTTCAACTCATCGTTACGGTGTCGGTGTCTTGGTATCAAAGAAAATTAGTAACTGTGTAACAAGCTTTACTCCCTTCTCTGATAGAATAATGACACTACAACTTCAGTCAAATAAACAAATTATAAATATTATACAAGTATATGCTCCTACGGCTGATAAAGATGATGATGAAATTGAAAGTTTCTATTACGATCTGGAACAAATTCTAAAATCAATGAAAAAACATCATACTACAGTAGTAATGGGCGATTTTAATACCAAAATTGGACATGAATGTGCTGACGGTTATGTGGGTGACTATGGATTAGGAGAACGAAACGAACGAGGACCCCGTATGGTACAATTTTGTCAAGCGGAGGAGTTAGTAGTTGCTAACACTCTTTTTAAGTTACCTAACAGACGACTGTATACATGGAAATCTCCGAGTGACACCAAAGGTAGAGTAGTCAGAAACCAAATTGACTTTGTCCTTGTTAGTCAAAGATTCCGCAACTCTATACTCTCAGCTAAAACCTACCCAGGAGCAGATATAGGCTCGGATCATAATCCTGTAGTAGTCACATTAAGAATAAAACTAAAGATCATTAAAAAACACATACAGAAACAAATTGACGTGAGAAGACTGAATGAACAACATATAAAAGAGAAAACAATAGTGAACATCAAAGAAAATTTACAAAATATAGAGAAACTGAATAGAAATACTGATAACATAGACCAAAAATGGGAGAATATTAAACATGCCGTAATGTTGGCAGGGAGAGAAAATTTAACACCGAAAGAAAGGAAACATAAAGAATGGATGAATGAGGAAATACTACAGTTGATGCGTGAAAGAAGGGTACACAAAACAAATAATCCGATAAGATACAAAGAAACAGATAAACTGATAAAAAAGAAAATAAGAGAAGCTAGAGAAAGATGGCTAAGTGAGCAATGCCATGAGTTGGAACAATTGGAGCGAAAATATGACTTTTTTAATGTACACAAAAAGATTAAAGAAATGACAGGAAGGAGAAGAACAACACAGACAGGACAGATCAAAGATACAGATGGTATAATTATAACAGATTTACAACAAAAAATGAACCGATGGACAGAATACATATCACAACTGTTTGATGACAAAGATAGACAAGAAATCTCAAACGAATATACAGATGATACAGGGCCTGATATAATCAGAGAAGAAATAGAATATGCAATCAAACAAGCAAAAAGTGGTAAGGTCAGGTCCTGATGAAATTCCCGTAGAACTGCTCAAACTTATGGACGATGAATCTATTAAAATACTCCTAGATCTATTTAACACAATATATAGAACTGGAATAATACCTAGGGAATGGCTCCGTTCGACCTTTATACTACTGCCAAAAAAGGCAAATACAAAGGAATGCAACGAATATCGTACGATAGCTTTGATGAGTCATGCTCTAAAACTGTTCTTAAAAATAATCCATAATAGGATCTATAGGAAATTAGACGTAGACATCAGTAACACTCAGATGGGATTCAGAAAAGGGCTGGGTACAAGGGAGGCTCTGTTTGCAATGAACGTTCTCTCACAGAGATGCTTCGATATGAACCAAGAAATTTACGCCTGCTTTATTGATTTCGAAAAGGCCTTTGACAAAGTACAACATGAACCACTAAGACAAGTTCTAATAAAGAAAAATATAGACAGCCGAGATATTCGAATTATATGCAATCTATATTGGAATCAAACAGCAAATGTCAAGGTTGAGGGCAGACTAACAGAAGAAATTCAAATCCGTCGAGGAGTCCGGCAGGGATGTATCTTATCGCCACTTTTATTTAATCTGTATAGTGAAGCTATCTGTGAGCAAGCACTCGAGGAAGAAGATCTTGGTCTGATAATAAATGGTGAGACGATCAACAATATAAGGTATGCTGACGATACAGTTCTCCTAACGGGAACGCTAGTAGAACTACAACATCTCGTTCAAAGTCTCAATATATACTGTAACAGTTACGGCTTGAAAATTAATTTGAAAAAAACTAAATTTATGGTAATCACGAAATCAAAGAACATCAGAGCTAATCTTGTAATAGACAATACAACGATTGAGCGTGTGCCCTGTTATAAATATCTAGGTGCTTGGATCACAGACGATACTGATCAAACAAAAGAGATTAGATGTAGAATAGAAATCGCTAGATCAGTCTTTAATAGAATGCGCAAACTCTTTTGCAATCGTGATATCAATATAAAGTTACGAATACGAATGCTGCGGTGTTATGTCTTTTCTACCCTGTTATATGGAGTTGAGGCTTGGACACTAAAACAGTTGACCATAAAAAACATCGAAGCTTTCGAGATGTGGTGCTATAGGCGCATTCTCAGAATATCATGGATGGACCGCGTCACTAACACGCAAGTACTCCAAACTTTAGACAAAAGATGCGAAATTCTAAATGAGATAAAAACTAGAAAGATGGAATACTTGGGGCACATTGTGAGAG